AATGAAGGCTAAATATACTTCTTCCATTCAAAAAGGCAAACGGGGAAAAATCCCAAAGAAAAAGCCATCCATTGTAGCAGAACAACTCACTACCATCTAAAACCCTCTCTCAAGCATTTGACTTCCATCCCTCTCCATTTTCCCAAAAAAAACGAGTACAATTTTTAAAAAATAAGTCATTCAATTGCATTAGAAGGGAAATGCTGTAGGATAAAACAAGTAGAACTGAATCAGAAAATAAAAGGGGAAACCCATCCACATCTGGAAGGACCATTTCCGCTTATTAGCAATGTAACGAAGCGCATACTCACCAAAAGAGGAGCCAATCGGAGGGAGCCCGTAGGTGAGCCAGCAGAATCCATCAGAGAGCAACACATGGAAAAGAGCGAGAGAGGCAACATATTGATTAGCCAGGCAACATAGCTTTCAAAAACAGCTGTACGTACAAGTGACCTTAATCCACAAAGGCGAGAGAGTTCATACCTACAGATTTTCTTTATTTCCCCCTAAAGTCTAGCAGCAGTTGTTCCTTAAGATTTCCTCCAGAGCAAAAAGCAACTAAACCAGCCAGAAATTCATTCTGGACACTTTTTAGAGGTATATTTATAATTAAAAAGAGCTAGCATGGGTGGGGAGGAAGGTTTAAAAACCAGCCATGTGTTATTTAAAACACAGACGCTCCAAGCATCCTGCATATGGCCAGTGTGAGTGTTCCTTGTTTTTTGTTTGTTTTTTAATCTCAGCGATGTGGGTTTATGGGAAGCTTTGGGTGGTAATCTCACATACGGATCCGATTTTCACAACCCAAAAATCAAGGAGAGCGAGGAAACGTCAGAGAATCCAGCAGAGTTTGGGAGAATGGAAAATACGATGCTGGAATTTGGAGGCTTGGGGGGGGAGCTGATCGGCTGCATGCTCCGCTTCTTGCTGGGTCTGGCTAAGCCTGGATCAGTTACGTAAGGGAAGCCTTGTTGGGATGGGGGAACTGGTGGTCTGAATCTCAAACTCTTAATGGGTTCTGACGGAGCCCTCTAGCGGATTTTATTTTTTTTACAAAAAAGCATACTTTCTAATTAAATTAACACTGCAAGCCAGCTGATCATCCCAAATCCTACACACGAAAGGCGGTGACAAGTAAACACACCAGGTTGTTTCTGTTTAACTATAGTTCCACAGTTTAACTATGTGGTGCACAAAGGAAGAACTTCTTTTTATCTGTTCTGAATGTCACTGGGTGTACACAAGCGTTATGAAAGGAGGAGGAGGACTTTCCTCTACCTACTTTCTCCATATCATGAATAATTTTGGCAATCTTCTGTCATGTTGCCTCTTACTCATCTCTTCTCCAAACTAAGGCACCACACTGGCTACCCGTCACCTTAGAGTTACAAAACATTGTCTGTCTTCCGGTTCATTATGGAAGTTTCACTGGATGCTTTTGCCTGAAGACAGGGGCGAGCAGGGCATGAGCTTGCAAAAGCGATTTCCTAACGCCAGTTCACAACGTGAGAAAGAGGATGAAATCTTGACTTTGCTTCTATCTTTGCCCGGTGAGGAAAGAC